TATATTAAATTAAATATGGAAATAAAATATTAATAGGATAGCAAACAGTGCCACTGCCCATTGACGACTGTGTTTCTCATTCAATGAACTTAATGGCAAGTTCACAAATATGGAACACCACACTCTAAAACTCTAAGAATTAATAAAAATATCCAAGATTCATGAACATTTTGCTAAGTGGTAATATTTTGGCACTTTCATTAAGGCAAAATTGCTTTTCTCTCTGTGTTAAAATAAAATGTAAAACTGTGGACAAGGCTGCATAAGCAGCTAATAAAAGGGGCTTATATCCGGTTATAAATTATCCTTATTGTCTTTGCTTCTCTAGAAACTCACATCCTATCCTCTGAGTAAATAATTCTGTCATGCTCCCTATATTCCCAGTACTACCTACAGAATATGAAAAACCACTTGAAATGAGGGCTGAAAACAGACTGTTACTTAAGAAGCATTTAATTCAAATGGGAGGCACTTTATTATTGTAATCCTGACTAGGATGTAACTATTATAAACAGAACTCAAATAGATTTGCCAAACGTATCCTGCAAACAAATCTTTCTCCACCTACTCATCTTCTTAGTTTGTACTCCCTGCACCATCAGAGGAAAATAGTAATAATCATTAATATTTATCTGAGTGTTCCACATGTGTCAGGCACTTTCTAAACACACATTCAACTCGTTTAATCCACAAGCTAATCATATGTGGATCAGCATCCTCATTTTATGGTTTAGGACAATGATGCACAGAGAAGTTAAGTAACTTATACAGAAAGCAAATAGCAGATGTGGGATGTAGGTCCAGGTGGTCCAGTGACTTAGCCTAAGCAGTGAATCACTTCTTCCTCCCTTACGGGATTTGTTTATTGATAATATTTGATTTCTCATGATGCAGGATGTAGCTACATTGTGGAAGACATAGGAATATAAACTGGAGAATTGTACATATGCTCAGTTATGAGGTTGAAAAATACCACTGTCTATGTTTTTTAAGTGTTTCTTTTTACGTTTGACTAGGTTTAGTATCATGTACATTACTAGATAACCAGAGCAAATCACACCAATTCTGAATATAATTTTATACTATTTACAAGGTTATTTATGACAACACCTAGATTTTAAAAATAAATACCATGTTATGTCTCTTAGGGACATGTCAGCTCATGGAAACATTAAAGGTGAGCTGTGCAATATGGCAGCCGCTAGCCACATGTGGCTATGTAAGTTAATGGAAATGAAATAAAGGCAAAATTCCAGTCTCTTAGTCACACTGCCACACTTCAGTTGCTCAATGGCTACATGTCTAGTGGTATTGTATGATGGAACTGCACAGATCTGGAACATTTTTATTATCATGGAACGTACTATGGTAGTGCGTTAAGGCCCTATCTTTAGAGAACCATTTATGAAATATGTTTGAAATGAAAGTGTATTGGGCTTCTGGTTTAAAATGATGGACTGAGTAAACATGAACCCTCTCATTAAAGCCAAGACCCCATTGAAATTAAAGTACAGAAATGCAAATATGTACACACCAATGACAGCAAAGCAAAGGAGTATGAGGTGCAGAAACAGCAGAGAAATTTTAAGAAACTTTTGAAAGCATGTTAATAGCAGGAAAACATAAAGAAAACCATACCTCAAGATAGGCTTTCAGGAAATCCTAGAGGAGATAGGGGTAGATTATGTAATGGAGTGCTTGGAGGCTGTAGGTAAATAGTCTGCAAGGATGGCAGAGGGGGAACTGAAGACTAAATGAAAGGTGACTGACCGTAGATCAGTGTGGGAAGCTATCGTGCCTGCCAGAAAACCTGCTCCTACCCCACTTTGCTCGCAACAGTGGACACTTGGCATTGACTTCTCAGTAAGAAAGTAGCTGATCCTGTCTAAAGAAATCAATGAATGGCTGGGACCAAATATGGGTGGGTGGCATTTCCAATATGACATGATGCTGTCCTCTTTCTGACACTTGACGAGCTCACAGTCTAATTGCCTCTTAGTTGACATTTCCTGCCTTTTCTCACATGAACTTCCAAGAAAGAATTTCCATTGCAGGCAAGGACTTGGCAAGAATGAAACTAATTTACAAAACAATACAGCTCCTCAATCTTCCTTCCCTAAATATAAATGGAAAATTTAGCATCACTAGGAATATCAGGAACATCAAAACATAAAAAAATCAAGATGAATCTATAGAAAAGTTGATCCCAGGAAAAAGAGATAAAATAAGAAAAAGAACTCTTAAAAATCCAAATGATAGACTCAAAGAAGTTGAAAATATATATAAATAGGAAGAGTCTGCCATGAAAAGAAAACTAGAGCATAAAGAAGAGTTCCCAATGATTAGAAAAATGACTTCTGATTGTTTTAATATAGAGAAAATCAAGTCTAAAAGGCGCTCTCAAGGATTAAAAACATGACTGCTGAAATGACTGAATGGCTGAGCAATGAAGTCAATGACATTTCCCAAAAGGTAAAACAACAAGGAGAACAATAAGATAAGTAGAAAGAAAAGATTATTTCATGAACGTACATGAGGAGCACTTTAAAATGTCCAGTATCCAACTGATAGTAGTTTCAGATAGAAAAGTAAAATAGAGAGGCCTGGAAAAGTTATTAAAGACCAATAATTTCTGAAAGCTGGTGATGTAAACCATTAGAACAAGAAAACGAATCACAATTTATCACATTCCTTATAAAATTTCAGAAACATAATGCATAGAAGAGAGAAAACAAACATACAACTGTTTACTTATAAAAGAATTCAAATCAAACTGGTGTCAGTCTTCGCATCAGCAATGGGTACTAGAAGGCAATGGACTGATGTCTTTAAGTTTCTGAGGCAAATGGTTTTTCCACCTAGATTATTTGACTCAATCCAATGATCATTCACACACAAGAGAAGCTATTTAGGTGGTCTGTAAGTTTACCTCACTTGGATCCTTTTTAAGAAAGTTACAAAGGAATATACACCAAATGAGGGCATACTCAGACTGCAAGATACTCAACTCAGAGAGAATAAGAGCAAACCCAAAGCTGAAGGCAGACATTATGTCTTGTGAGTAGCAGGAAGGCAGAGGGCTCCAGAGGCTATCTCCAGGGGGAGAATAAGGTGACCTAACAGGTTAAATCAAATAATTGAAAAGACTGAAGAACTTGATGATATTCTGAAGTCTCACAATAAATGGAAAAAAGGAAAGAAAGGCAATTAGAAATCTGGAAAAAGAAAGCTGCATTATAAAATAGGTAGGTCCAAATATTAAGCAACAATGATATGTAAAGCATTAAGCAATTCATGGGGTGGGAAAAAAGTCATCTTTTGATTTTGAGCCTAGGGCTTTTTCCCCAGGAGTGGCTCAGAAGTTACCAATGAAATCTCATGAAATATAACGCATGCTTGGATTAAAACAGAGAATGAAAAACAATCTAACAGAAATATTAGATCTTATGTTTAATATAAATAAGTATAGATTATTAACTACGTATGGAGTTTACAAAAAAATGTGTAACAAAACACAGGCTTACAAATGAATAGATAAAATACAAAGTAGTTGGTAAACACTGGAAATTCATATACCAGGTAATCTTTTGTACTATTTCATTGCATTTTAGAGTTTGTAGTAGGATTCCTTAAAGATGAATTCTCAAATAGCAATAATTATAATACTATGATATCCTAGTCAGTTCAGGATGCCACAACAAACTACCACAGACTGGTTTGCTTTAACAACAGAATTTTATTTTCTCACAATTCTGGAGGTGGGAAGTCAGGGCTCAGGGTCCCGGTGTGGATGGTTTCTGGTGAGGGCTCTCCCCATAGGTCTCAGGCTGCTGCCTTTCTGCCTGTGCTCACATGATCTTTTCTTTGTGCAAGCACACACACACACATAAACACACACACACACACACACACACACACGGAGACAGCGCGCATGAAAGCTCAGAGCTCTGTGCTGTCTCTTCTTATAAGGGCACAAATCTCCTCACAAGGGACCAACCCTCATGACCTAATCTTGTCCTAATTACCGCCCAAAGACCCCATCTCCAAATGCCATCACACTGGAGCTCAGGGCTTCAACATATAAATTTTGAGAGGAAACAGATATTCAGTCTATAACATATAGGTTTAAAATTTTCACATACCTATAATTTTAGAAGACAAATATTGCTATCATCATTTGAAAAAAATAAGAATAGTTAAAAAATAGCATTCTATAAAACAAAGTTTGGAAAATGATAGCATATACTTTAAAAAATAATTAAAATTACAGATCATCTGCTTATCTTGTAAAATTATTCTCAGTCAAGTCTGCCCATTATCTCCACTACTGAATTTGTAGATATTAGCAATGACCTACACCCATTTGCTTAAATTTCCAAGGCCTGATTTTTACTACACTTTTGAACCAGCTGGTTTTGCTTAATATTGCATTTTGAATGTTAAACCTGAGAAACAGTATTGTTTTCATGATTCTTTTAGTAAATAGTTTGTTACTGGAGCAAACATATTTAACTATAGAACAGTATTACTTAAAATAGTTACTAAAGCTGTAACAACTTTGTATTAAAGATTGTTTTTAGAAATAGGTTTGTTCACTGCCTGTTACATTTAAAGTGCTTGCCATTTTTATGTTATTTTATGCTATCGAAATTGTCAAGGAGTAATTCTGCTAAATGATAAAGTGGTATGATCTTATTAAAAATATTTAGCAAAAGTACACGTGTGTTAAGAGAATATGCTTTATGTCAATGTATTATCTGTTGATACTTTTACTTTACAATTAAATTGCTATAAGTAATAACATTGGTTTTTTTCATTGGCCAAGAAAACTACCACTAATATTCTAACACTAACCCTAGGGTATACTGTTATGGTAAAAGTACTGACCAAGGGGATGCATATGGGAGTCAGCCTCCCTTTGCTTGGAATGTGGGGACTTCTAAACCCAAGCCTCCTGTTAAGTTATAGTTTTCCTCAGATGCTTGTTTTACTCTCTCCAGGTGATGATGCCAGGGAGGCTGTTAAACATGGCTTGAATGGGATCTTGGTGTCGAATCATGGGGCTCGACAACTTGATGGGGTGCCAGCCACTGTGAGTTTTCGCAAATGCTGAGATTTCCCTTTGAAGTTTCCATTTCCATCACTGTGTTCCTATCTCTCTGTCTACCTCCTCTGTGTACGTACTTTCTGTGATCACTCAAGGTGAAATAGATGCAATTATGTGAGATCTTGGATTTTAAGTTGAGTGGCACCTAACTACCCAAATTATGTGTTATTAGTTATTTATTAATTATTATTAATAATAATTATAAATTATAGAGTATAATATTAATAAACATTTATGTTTAATTAGCCTAATACATTTATTTATAACCTATGAAAGTCCCTGTTAAATAAGAAGACATTTGTAGGCAGGGATTATTTTGGCATTCATAGATACACCAATAAGTATGTAAACCAGAGTATGAAAGAAAGGATTATGCCATGAATGTTCAAAGAAGTGAGCTAACAGAGAATTGTGGGAATGCGAAGGCTTTGGTAAAATTTGAGATCATTAGTATAATTGAGGCAAGAAACCAGGCGGAGGGACATATTGGAATTTCCTGTGGGGTGGGGGTTGAAAAGCTGCAAAGAAAGCATGGGGAGTTGGGAAAAGGAGAAAAAGGGCCTAGGCCCAGGTGAGGGGAAGTGATCTGCAAATAGGCTAGTCTGGCCGAGTTGTGAACCAACTTGGCTGCGCATTGGAATCACCTGGGAAACTTTGACGAATCCTGCTCTGTTCCCCAGATCAATTTATGAGAATCTCTGTTTGGGGCTTAGGGGTATATAGGCAGTAGCATTTTTTTTAAGGTATCAGGAGATTCCACTGTGCAGCTTTAGTTTTTATGCATTGGGGTTGGAAAATCAGAGTCCAGAATCTAGGTATAAAAGTGAACTCAACTGGTCTAAATAGTGTGGGACTAGGGCTGGGCGTGGTGGCTCATGCCTGTAATCCCAGCACTTTGGGAGGCCGAGGAGGGCGGATCACGAGGTCAAGAGATCGAGACCATCCTGGCCATGGTGAAACCCTGTCTCTACTAAAAATACAAAAATTAGCCAGGCGTGGTGGCACGCACCTGTGGTCCCAGCTACTCAGGAGGCTGAGGCAGAAGAATCGCTTGAACCCAGGAGGCGGAGGTTGCAGTGAATCGAGATTGTGCCACTGCACTCCAGCCTGGCAACAGAGCAAGACTCTGTCTCAAAAAAATAAAAATAAAAATAGTGTGGGACTGAATTAGAACTATATCGAAGAGCAATTAGACTCCAAAGAACCTAACGCCAAGAAAACCGACAGGGGCTCTTGGGGCAGATTTTAAGAGCTCTCACTCAGAAGTGGGTGTTGGACAGTGAGAATACATGGACAAAGGGAGGGGAACATCACACTTTGGGGCCGGTCAGGGGGTGGGGAGCTAGGGTAGGGCTAGCAGGGGGGTGGGGAGCTAGGGGAAGGATAACACTAGGAGAAATACCTAATGTAGATGACGGGGTGATGGATGCAGCAAACCACCATGGCACGTGTATACCTATATAACAAACCTGCACGTTCTGCACATGTACCCTAGAACTTAAAGTATAATAAACAAAAATAAATAAATAAATAAAACAAGCAAACAAACAAAAACAGTATAGCTGCTATGGAAAGTAGTGTGGAGATTCCTTAAAGAACTTTTAGTTCTACTTTTAGTAGAACTACCATTTGATCCAGCAATCCCACTACTGGGTATCTACCCAGAGGAAAATAAGTCATTATTTGAGAAAAATACTGTCGCGTGCATGTTTATAGAAGCACAATTCACAATTGCAAAATCGTGGAACCAACCCAAATGCCCATCAATCAATGAGTGGATAAAGAAACCGTGGTACATATACATGATGGAATACTACTCATCCATAAAAATGAATGAATTAACAGCATTTGCATTGACCTGAATGAAATTGGAGACTATTATTTTAAGTGCAGTAACTCAGGAATAAAAATTCATTTATATGTTCTAACTGATATGTGGGAGCTAAGCTATGAGGATGCAAAGGCATAAGAATGATACGATGGACACTGGGGACTTTGGCAGGGAAGAGTTAGGGGGCAGGGATAAAAAGCTACAAATATGGTGCAGTGTATACTGCTCAGGTGATGGGTGCACCAAAATCTCACAAATCACCACTAAAGAACTTACTTATGTAACCAAATACCACCTGTACCCCAATAAGTTATGGAAAAATAAAATAAAATAATAAAAACTAAACAACAATGACTGGCTGGGCACTGTGGCTCATGCCTGTAATCCCAGCACTTTGGGAGGCTGAGGCACACAGATCACCTGAGGTCAGGAGTTTGAGACCAGTCTAGCCAACATGGTGAAACTCTGCCTCTACTAAAAATATAAAAATTAGCCAGGTGTGGTGGTGGGTGCCTATAATCCCAGCTACTTGGGAGGTTATGGCAGGAGAATCACTTGAACCTGGGAGGTGGAGGTTGCAGTGAGCCAAGATCGCACCATTTCACTCCAGCCTGGGCAACAAGAGCGAGACTCCATCTAAAAAACAAAACAATAAGCTTTCTCTTTGCATGCTGTGTACATGAGGGGAGATACTTGCTTGAGTTTTGCCTCACACTTCAGAGCAGATTTAAAGCTCATGATGATGAGAGAAACGTGAGAAAGAATTTTGTGTACAGTGAAGGGTGCTCTTCCCTCAGTGTGTGGGTTTTGCAGTGAGTGGCAAAAGCTTGGGGGAGGCTGTGGTGTCCAGGTGTCAGTACTTGCACAGAAGAAGTTGCTGTACTGCAGATTTTGTTATGTCATAAGTTAGAGCCACAAAGGCAGCATGATGTCATGGGAGGAGCACTGAAATAAGATCTTGTCTCGCCTTTCTAAGGGGATAAGATATAAGTGAGTAAGTCACCGAGACTTTTAAGTCTAAACATCTTCACAGTACTGTGTTGCTTACAAAAAGAAAGTGGACAACTTTATGAATCCTACATTTCTATTAGGTTGGTGCAAAAGTAATTTCACCATTACTTTTAATGGTGAAAATGGCAATTACTTTTGTGTCAGGCTAATATAAATCAGAGTTTGCTTATATGGAGAAATAGTTATTGTCACTAGGAATCCTAGAACAGGTATTTAACTTCAGTTCATCTTAATATGTTGCTTCTGAGAAGTGCTGCTAGGCCCCCGCTACATCCCAGAAAAAATAAAAAACAAGACTGTGTCAAAAATACACTTATCATTTTATGGTAATAAGTTGATCCAGATTGGCTCTGAAGTAATTTGAAAATAATAGGCTAGAATCGAATTGATTTCTAAAATCCGCAGCACTAGATCTTCTCAAATTGAAATTCTCTAGAGTATCTGAATCCTGAGCATTATTTTTCAATTTTGCCTTTTCATTTTGATGCTCTCCGGACCCAAACTACCTCAAGCTTAGAAATATGACTTTCTTTCACGGTGAAAACTCTCAACTGCCAAACATTTTTATAGAATAAGCATTTGGGTTGTTAAGTTCTTGGGCATGTTCTGTGAACTCTAAGCGATTTTAATTTATTTTTAAAAAAAGAGTCCATGCAATTCCATCTTTGAGAAACATTAAATGTATCAGTTGGCTTTTGCTGTGTAACAAGCCACTCTGAAACTTACTGGCTAAACCACAATCGTCATTATCTCATTTTATAATTTTGTGGGTTGGCAGTTTGGGCTGAGATCTGCTGAGTGCTTTTCTGGTCTTGGCTGGACTCACTCACAGGTGTCTATGACAAGCTACTAGGTCTGGCATAGAATGAGCTTGGCAGGGATGGCTCTGCATTGTCTCACATCTTCCAGCGTGTGTTAGGAGTATTCTCATGAAATGGCAGGGCTCCTAGAGAGTGAGCGGAAGCATGCAAGGCCTCCTGAGATCTAGGCTTAGAATGAGCATCCTGTCACTTCTTTCATAATCCACTGGTGAAAGCAAATCACAAGTTCAATTCAGAGCTAAGGGGTGGGGGAACAGAACCCTCCTTCCTTTCCCTTTCTCCCATAATGTTACAAGGAAACGAAGATAAAGAGGAAATCATTGCAGTCATTTTTGCAGTTGCAGACAATCAGCAAAATCTGTATGGACCAGTGATTTCCTAAATGTGCTTAGGAAAAGCCCCTTAGGGCTGCGTGGTGAAGTGTGATGGGTGGAGTGAGTAGACAGCCTGGGGAGGATTTATGGGCAGTAAATTGGACTCTGTCTTCTTTGAGTTTAACTAAGCACCTTTGGTTCCACCTGCTTTGTTTATTTTGAACTGTTCTGATTTGAACAAAGGTTTCCATACCTAAAATGTCAGAAATGAAGAGTACAACAATGGATGCAATAGGAAGGTGGAAAGGTGAGAGCTCCTTGTGCATAGAAGTTGTGTTTGGGGGAGGGGTTGGTGGAGCAAGTTGTAGAGGGAGCATCCTGAAAGAGTGTGACTTGAACACAATGAGAAAGAGGATTCTCTTTGACAGTCAGATCCCTGCGGGTTTCTTTCCACATCCCTTACTCTGCCTGACATTACTGCCTTGAATATACCATGTCCTTTATAAAGTGTTTGATAAAACAGCGAATGGAGGGATGAATAAGCAGCAGTATACAGGGATATTACCATATTTTCCTGGAGATTAACTCCAGTGGAGTTAAGCCTACAATTACTTGCCCCGAAGAAGCACTAAGAAAATAGCTAAAATGAATGGTCTCATAGATGTACAGAAAGCTGAAAAGAGGGAAACATAAACAGAGCTATAACATAGTGAGTCCGTCTCCTGTATTTATTTATCTAATCTGTTCTGATCGGAATTATTTTGTGTAATATACACCTAGTAAAACTGCAGCTATTGAAAGAAAAAGGGAAGGATTGAAACGCTTAGCAATAGATGAACATTGTTGTTCACAGACACACGAAACACCAATCTGGTCTCGGTTTAACCCAGGATTCACATTTTTAAGTATCTTTATTAGTTTACTTTTAGGCCAGGGTAGGCATTGGAAATTATCTAAACACACTTGATTTGACTGACTTTGAAAATGTGTATTGAACCCAAGCTAGTTAATATTTTTCTTTGGTTCTGGTTTCAAATGGGGAAATATGCTTAATTATAGCTTGCATCATCGCTTGGAAATTGTAGCATTTATATGTTGATGTAACTTGCCTGAATGCAAAAAGAGGACTATGTATAGGAAAAGGGACATATGTAAATAGATCCATATGGCAAGGCAGGAAAGCCGAAAGGAAAAGAGGAAAATCACATTACCTGCCAAACATTTAGGGGCCACATGCCAACTGTTACCTCCACTTCCTTCAAATCTGTAGCCCTGTTTGGTCTTCAGCCTCATACATGAAACTGTATTTAAGTTTAGACTCTAAAATTTTAGGGTAGAGGTAGGATAACCTTTGAATGATTTCAGCACAATTATTCTGAACAAGGTGGACTTCAGTGTGTGGCAGCTTCCTCAGCATAAATTTTAAATAGGAACTGTACTTAATTTAGATTTTAACATTTTGAGATGAATGTGAGTAATTTCTACAGATTTCAACCTTAAGCCCTCCTCGTAAACTGTTTTTATTCTAAAATGCAGATTCACATCAAAGTAGCCAATTGTATTGGTTAGCCACTGCCATATGACACTATAAAATGAATAACCCCAAACTCATTGATTGAAATCAGCAATCATTTATTTCCATGAAAGTCTGCGTTGACCAGTGTCTACTGATTTAGGCTTGGTGTTAGCTAGGTGGCTGCTATTCAACTGTCTGTCAGCTCCAGCTGGGCTTGGTTGTGCTGGCTCTGCTTCCTGAATATTTACCCTGGGGCCAAAGATGAAGCGGAAACAATACCTGGTGGAAGCTCTTCTCATGGCAAATGACATGGTGCAAAACAGTAAGTGGGAATGCATGAGGTTGCTTAAGGCCTGTGCTCAGAAATGGCATTCTACCAACTCTGCTCACGTTATTGGCTGAAGTAGCCAAGCGTGCAGGCAAGTGCACTTTGATGCCAACCTAAGCCCATCATCACCAATTGCCAATCAAGACCAGAATCTTCATGGTGAAAGTGATCATATTTCCTTAAAATCAAGAAAACTATTTTCATAGAGCGTTCTCTGATATATGTGGTTGGATGCAAAATAGTTTGGATGAGAAAGTAAGAGATTATGTTTTTTTTAATTAGTTCTGTTTGCATTTTGCACACTGCTTGCACTATTATCTGAGTATGAATTTTAACAATTGATTCGCAATGAGTAATGTTCAGAATAATTTATGTCAACACAATACTTCATTTACTTTTACACATTTTATAATCCCAGCCCTTTGGGAGGCTGAGGCAGGCAGATCACTTGAGGTCAGGAGTTAGAGACCAGTCTGGCCAACATGATGAAACCCTGTCTCTACCAAAATCACAAAAATTAGCTGGGCACGGTGGTGGGTGCCTGTAATTCCAGCCACTTGGGAGACTGAAGCAGGAGAATCACTTGAAGTCTGGAGGTGGAGGTCACAGCAAGGCGAGATCACAAAACTGCACTCCAGGTTGGGAGACAGAGCAAGAACCTGCCTCAAAAAAAAAAAAAAAAGCTTAGTTCAAGTGTTTTATGTTTATTTTATTATACCAATGTTTGAATATAAGAGGCAAAAAAAGACAACCTTGCACTTTAAAAGAAAAATAAGCTACTTATTTCCAAATTTAGTTGGTGATTTAGTTACTAGCATTTGTACCTCTCTTCTTTGAGGAGGAAATAATTTTACTATTGACTCCAAACCTACTTGGCTTCTTTAACTCTAAGCCTTCGCTGGATGTGTCAGTGGTTTTTTGGAGGCGGAGGTGAAAAACAACTCAGTGTTAATAGAGTCACGTTATTGAACTTTTCTTTCCCAGATTGATGCTCTGCCAGAAATTGTGGAGGCTGTGGAAGGGAAGGTGGAAGTCTTCCTGGACGGGGGTGTGCGGAAAGGCACTGACGTTCTGAAAGCTCTGGCTCTAGGTGCCAAGGCTGTGTTTGTGGGGAGACCAGTCATTTGGGGCTTAGCTTTCCAGGTAATTGGACAAAGAAATAAATATATAAAACAGATAATTTGACAGTAAAACAAATAAATAAAACAAGTTAGACTGATTTGCCCAATAATTTTGTATCTTGGTTAGGGGGAGAAAGGTGTTCGAGATGTCCTCGAGATACTAAAGGAAGAGTTCCGGTTGGCCATGGCTCTGAGTGGTAAGACTCATTCTTCTCGACAGCTTTCTTTTCTTTTATGGTCTTTAAGTCAAGGTCCTTGGTGGAGACAAGTGAATTTGAAAGGGAAGAGTGTGGGATCATTTGGGGTATATTAAATTTGATGTTGACCCCATCTCAACAGCTTTGAGAAACGCTATGTGTGCATAGTCTCTAGTAATTACTTAATCTTTATATTTCACAGCTTTATGAGAAACATTTTGGTGAGTATGAGTACTTAAAGGTAGATGCAACATCTTACACTTTCTCATCTCATAATGCATGAACACATAAATCTACCTGGATAGTCAACACCTCCCTTTGGATAGCTAAGTGGCAGTCAAAATCCTTACCTGTCCAAGTCTAAGCTGCTAACTTTTCACATTAAACCTGCTCCACCTGCAGCTTCTCCATCAGTTCATGTTAATCCAATAGTTTCAGTTGCTCAGTCAGAAATCTTCAGTCGTTCTTGACTCTGCTTTTCTCTCACACCCTCACAGCCATAGGGGCTCTATCTTTGATCTTCAAAATATAATCAGAATCTGACCTCCCTGTCATCTCCACTGCCATTGCCCTGGCTAGAGCCATCATTGTCTCTCTTCCTGTGGACATTGTGGGTGAGCGTGTCTATCCTCACCTCCCTAACCTCTCTCAGACTATTCTGATCATGGCAGCCAGAATGGTTCTTTTAAAAATTAATTGAGATCATGTTATTTTTCGGATCAGAAAACCCCCAGTGGCTCTTAGTTTACTCAGAGTAAATGTCAAAGTCCTTGCAGCAGTTTATAAGGCCTCATGTGGTTTAACTCCTGTTATCTTTCTGATCCCAACTTCTACTAATGTGACCCTTATTCTGCCCAGGAGACACATGTCTCCTTGACGTCCCTTGATTGTATCAGATATGTTTCAGCCTTGGGGTATTTGCAATGGTTGTTCCCTCTGCCTGGATGCTCTTCCTCCAGATAGCTACATGAATAACTTCCTCTCATCTCTCACGTGTTCACATAAAGTATACTTTCTTAAAGGTGCCCGTCCTGATTACTGTGTTTAAAATAGCAATTCATCCTCCACCCATCCATTTGACTTCCAGTTTTCTTTTTTAGCTTTATTTCATCCTTTTCCCACAGCACTGATTGTCTCCTATATATCATTATCATAGAATTTCCTTTTAAAATTATAGGCATCATATATTGAGTTTCCCCTTTAGAACAAAAGATGCATGTGGCAGGGGGCTTTGTTGTCTTGACTACAGTATTTCAGTTCCTAGAGCAGTGTCTGGCACACAAACAATATTTAATGAGAGAATGAATAAATAAAGCATTAAAATACTACTAGTCACTATTTCTAATTTGACTCAGAAAGAATCAGTAGTTAGAAAGAATGGTCATGATTTAATTATCAGCCACCCAATTTTTGAAGGTAAAGAGGGGTTCCTTTTCTGTAATCCATGTGATCTGTATTGTTCCCATATAGAGAACTCCCCAGATAAATGGTCTACTCACTACTGTACTCAGTCTGCAGACAGAGCCTCAGCGAGAAGAATGCCATTCTGTGAATCCTCACTACGCATTTTAATTTGCTACAGACATATCCTAAAAGAGAGCTTTCAGTCACTGACTCTCTATTAAATGTGGCAGAAAGAATATACTCTTTGTGTTAATAAAAATATGTGCCAGTCATTTTGTGTTAAGGACTGTTTAGGTAATAAAAAATGGTCTCATGCCACATAAGATTTGGCAAGCCTACCTTGAATCATAAACCTTACATTTGTCAAATTTTACATTCCTTGGGAAAACGATTACCTGCCTGATTATTATTGCATTCAGTTCATATTAAATGTATGCATTATTTTTTCAGGGTGCCAGAATGTGAAAGTCATCGACAAGACATTGGTGAGGAAAAATCCTTTGGCCGTTTCCAAGATCTGACAGTGCACAATATTTTCCCATCTGTATTATTTTTTTTTTTCAGCATGTATTACTTGACAAAGAGACACTGTGCAGAGGGTGACCACAGTCTGTAATTCCCCACTTCAATACAAAGGGTGTCGTTCTTTTCCAACAAAATAGCAATCTCTTTTAGTTCATTGCTTTTGACTTTTCAATGGGTGTCCTAGGAACCTTTTAGAAAGAAATGGACTTTCATCCTGGAAATATATTAACTGTTAAAAAGAAAACATTGAAAATGTGTTTAGTCAACGTCATCCCCTGGCAGGCTAAAATGCTGTATCCTTTAGTAAAATTGGAGGTAGCAAACACTAAGGTGAAAAGATAATGATCGCATTGTTGATTAACCTGCATTCAGTTTAGATGTCTTTAGAGGTTCTTAAATGGTAAGCTCAGATTCAAAGTGCTGGAAATGCCTGATTCACAACATTGAGAAGGTAACACTGGATAGAACTGGATTGGGTGGTGGTAATTGGTGATACTTCTTTGAATGAAGATTTACAATCACATGTTTAGTGTCTGAATATACCTGAATATTTTGGGATGTATGTTAGTTCTTAATCAGAGAGGAATAAAGCATTTTTGGAAAGAAGACGTATAGTTCATTTGTAACAATATGAAATTTTAATTTTAATTTCTGAACCCTAATTATCCCCTCGTTTCCTTTCTGCATACCTCACTGGTTCTCTTATGCCTCCTACTTCCCTTTTTTTACTCTTTTGATTCTTAACCATTGAAAACCATGGGCAAATGTAGCTACATCATGTGCGAGGACCATGCAAAATGAAAATGTTGGCCTTTTGTTCAAAAAGCAAGATGAAACCCTTTTCCCTTTTCCACAGTTTTTCTCTTAACCTGTCATGGAGTCTTTTGCTATTTCATGTCATGCTTCTTTGGGCATGGGGGTACCCATATAACAAGAGTAGAGCCTTCTGGGTGCCTTGTAACTTGCCTCGACCTTTCCTGTGCCCATGCCCAGGACCCTGGCAGGGTGCCAGGCAACTATACTGAGCAGAATGCCTGAGCCAGCAACCAGGAACTCACTTAGCAGACATGGGGAGTTGGCAGGAGTTGGAACAATGTATGATGCTAGGCTCTTAGTGTCCCCAGCACAAGTTCCACTGTCATATAGAGCTTCACTTATAAAACACAAATTCAGTGATACCATTATTAAGTATTTCAAGCCATCAACCACAGAGCATCAAACCCCAAGCCCGAGACCCCTTTCTGAGCATGGAGCCCTGTCCACTGCACTAGGAGCACACCCATGAAGCCCCCATCGCGTGACATTTAGATTCATTCTCAAACCAAGCATTTGACAAATTGGAGGTGAACTGGGTAGCCAAAGTAATTTTGAAGTTGATTTTTCATGATCTCTGGGTGTTCAACCACTGTGAGGTACTGAATGAAACAATTCAGAGAATCACCACCTGAAAACGTGATTATTATATTATGCATTATTATTATTCCTCAGAACTCTCACTTTCTCCTTCTAAATGCTAGGGCATTCCTCAATATTAATATGAACACAAAAAGATTTTTCTTCTGAGAATATATACCAGTTTGGTAAAAAAAGAATCACTTAAGCTTACAAAAAAGAAAAGTTATGCCTTAACTTTTCTCCAAATACACAGAGTAAATATTTGTATCATATCATGTCATTGTTTTATGCTTTTCTAGTTAATATTAATCAGTGAATAAGTATATAGTAAGCGTCTCTGATTTCCTCGACAGATTCAAAATGCCTTCTCTGTTGCCACTGAGTTTCCATTTTGACTATATGACAGTGTATGGTTGTGTGGGCACTTGCTTAAAAGTTGACATAACTTCCCAGAAAATAGAGATTGGTAAGTGGTGTTTTATGTAAGGTTTATGCAAGTAACAGTGAGAATGGGGATTACTGGTCTTAATTTGTGAGTTTCTCATAACTTTGAAGATTCCCTGAGCCACAATAACTCCTTTAATGTAGATTTTCATTTATGTTTTCAGAGTTGGAACATATCTGAATGCTTTATGTTTGATAACTTTTTCATAATCAAAGATATACGGCTGTTTGCTTCTACTTTTTTAAATGAGTGATGTGGACCCAATTCTAACAGTAATAAAATCAAAATGTCTAATGGTTAAAAGAGGAATGGTGTGTGTTGGTTGCACATTCCCTTCCAAGAGTTTTGTAACTTAGGCTTGATAGATAGATTTCTTTGAGGAAGCCAACAAACTCCTCTCTTCCTAGGTTTCTTGAAATATGATGGGGAAGGGGTAACAGGGCTTCATATGGGCTGCCTCTGCATTTCTTGTATGTTATTTTGTGTACATAGTGCTCTATAGCAGTTTCTCAAGCTTTAATAGTTCATCAGAATCACCTCCAGGGCTCCTTAAAACAGATTGCTGGGCCCCACCCCATGGATTCTGTTGCAGCTGAGTGAGCCAGCTATTGGCTACAGGCAGAGAGGCCAGGACTCACCTTAAAAGGCCAGCTGCTCCTTAGGCAGTTGATACATTTTCATTGAATTTCATTTCTTATTGACATGAAATGCATACAGCAAGGTGTGTAAGGTGCTGAAACCTGAGTGTATCAGTGGCTGCACTTTACATTTACACTTATAAGCCTACCTCCCAGATCAAAATATAAAACATCTCCATCATCTCCAAACATACTCCTTCCACCAGAGATAAACCTATGTTGATTTTCACTGCCATTGATTGGTTTTTCACTAGTTTTCACATAAGCAGAACCATACAGTGTGCACTTCCGTGTGTAGTTTCTTTTGCTTGTGATATGTGAAGTTCATTCATGATTTTGAGTGAGTTCCGGTTATTGCTCTGTAGTAATCCATTGTAGGAATGTACTACAATTTATCTATCTCTTCTCCTATTGGGTTATTTCCAGTTTTCTGCTGGAAGTTGATTCTAACTGATTTTTGCAAAAATGCAAATTGTTATTTTTTGATTTTTCAAGAAATGCAAGACATTTAGATTTTTATGTAAAAATGTTTAAATGTTGGATGACAGTTAACATTTTGAACACTGAACAGGTGATGTTAAACATGGATGTGGCCCACAAGCCACAAGTCTCAACCCTGAAACATTTTATCCTCACGGATGTTTTCCTCATGGCTGAAATCACCCTTATGTCCTGACACAGAATCATGGCTGAGACCCATAGCAGTGATGGGTGCCTATCAACAGATATTGCCAGAATCTCCTTTGTTTAAGCTTATTTATATTTAGCCACCTGGAATAATGCGAGTGTGAAATAAACTTCTCTTTACCAGGCTTGGGGAGCCCAGGTTCCCAGGCCTGTAGGAATGAATTGAATGGTATTGATGCTTCTTAGCGTGATGTTTGCAAACTGCATTTGGGTCATTGCTGTGTTATTCATTTGCTTGTTTATCTTGCGAAAACATTGCCGTTTGTGAAACAGCTTTAGAGGGCTGTGGTGGATTAGGAAAGCATGAAAGGAAGTTGTGGCTTGCTCTCAAACAGAGAGAAAAGACTTTTCATTATAAAATTCATAACTTATTTACTGTCTGATGGACTATGTTGCATGTCAGTTGCATAGCAACAAAATAAAGTTTGTCTGTTTAGGAAAGTCCGAAGATTTCTTATAACATAAAGACAGAGGATGCTTTCTGAACTTATATTTGCCTCAGCGTGCATTCTGTCACATGCCAATTATAGAACAACATCAGGATGAGAGTTTATTTTAGGTAATGTAAATGTTAGCTCAAATGATAGAAGGCTATTATTATATGTTTATGTGATGGGAAATCTCTTCTATTCTAAAATATGCAATTTCCTGTCCTTACCCTAATCAAACTTGAGCAATAGGTGTCTTCTTTCCTCCCTAATGTGGTTGCCCATTGTTGGAGGAAATAAAAACATACTTTTTAATTTATCTGTTTGCTTCTCCACTGATATTTTTCTGAACTTAGATAGCGAGTATAAGTTCAATTGAAAGTTTTCCAGGACTTTCAGTTAAGAATTGTGTTACCATGAATGATACCAAAAGAAGAGCTGGAATTCAAGTGAGCAATACATTTGATTTTGTTTGTTTGTTTGATTCAGCATCACAGGGGAAAAGAGTCTTGCTTGGTTTCCTATCTATCTTTTCTGGTTAGATCATCTGTCTTTAACGCTGATTTACCTTCCATTACTGTCAACAGCCTGAGTCTGTTTCTAACAGTGGAATCTTCTTATTGATAGTCTTTTATGGTAGGATTCTTTACATTTTATGTTAGAGCTTTCTCACTAAACTTACTCAATGAACATCAAGGCTAACCGGCTCAAAAGCACTGGATTAGAAGCCTATAAGATCTGAGTGATTAGCTATGTGAACCATTATTTAACCGGAGGACCCTCAGATGCTCAGCTCTGAAACGAGGGTGGCAGCATCTGCCTATCTCTCTGGGTGATTATGAACATAGCATGGTGAAATATGTGAGAATTTATCATAAACTGTAAATAAACATTCAAAGGAAGGTATTATTTTGTAATAATATTTAATAATGATTATTATCAGGAAATACAATATGACATTCCAATAAGTATTTTATTTTATAGTGTTTATTTAGAAAAAAAGTGTTTTATAGAGTAAAATAAACATCACCACAGATTTTACCCAGAGATAACTTTTATTGAGATTAGCTGAATATCATCTCAGACATTGCTGTGTATGTATAATCAATGAACAGCTGGATAGATAGTAGTTTTGAAGCCACCTTTGCAAAAACTGTAACCATGAGAAAATGATGACAGTGCAAAAGATCTGACCTCATCAAACTCCATCTTGCCTTTAACCTCCAAACTGCCTGTGGTCATTCCAGGGCTTGGGCCAAGCTAACGTTGGGAGATATTTAGTTTATAGTTTAAATGATAATATCCCTTCTTCAAAACTAGACAGCCCTTGTAAAAGCTAATGAAGGATCACCAGGTTAGGAGGATGAGAGGAGCCTGCATTCTGTTAAGATGTAGGCCTAAAGAATGATCAGCCTTTATCCTGGGGTCACAAAGTTTGCAGCATCCCCAATTACTCCTGCAGATAACATGGCCAGTGTATACCCTAAGATTGGTCTTTTGAGATGTCTTTTCAGACTTTGGCATTTCTGAGGACTGGGTGGCCACTCATCTGTGACTCTTGACTCAACTGGTCCTCTGGCCCCCGCCCAGAAGCAGACTCAGTGCACAAGGACCATTTTTCACACTCCTATGACTGCATCCCCAAGCAGTCAGCAGCACCCATTCCCTAGCCTGACAAACTATCCTTGAAAAATCCTAAACTCCGAATTTTCAAGGAAGTTGATTCAAGTAATAATAAAGCTCCAGTCTCCTGTTTAGGTGGCTCTACATGTATTAAATTCTTTCTGTGCAGTGGGCAAAATGAACATGTTGGATAGTTACAGCTTCGCTAAAATAGGACTATACAATAAATGCTACGTTTAAGTAAAATATTCAATTTATTTTTACTTCAATTTGTAGAAGGAAAAGTAAAGTTGGAAAGATTTAAAATTAAGATTTTTTTTAAAGAGATATTATAGCTTAAGAGTGCCTACACAATGTATTTGGAAAATTATGAAAACTTAAAAGATTGAA